ATTTTGAGAAGGCAGCTCTCCCTCTTTGCACTTTGAGTGTCTTCCAAATTGAGGGGCTCATACAATGGTATTCTGTTACATATAGCTTTTTTGAAAGCCTATTATTTCAGAAGTGGACTACCAGTCTGGCACCTTGGTCTGTCTTAGTCTGGAAGCTCTGCTGAAATATGCACCATGAGTGACCATGATGGTATTTGAAATAGCTGTAGCATAGCTTCACATCACAGCAACATGCAAACCACCACAGCACAGCACAGCACAGCACAGCACAGCCCACTTACAGAGGAGTGGCAGCTATACTGCGGTGACTGTATTGTGGGGCAGGTTTCATCAGAGATTCTAGACTGATACAGACTTAGAAACAGGACTGATTATCTACTTCTGAAACAATATGCCTTCAAAAACCCTATAAGTAAAAGAAGAACTTATACACAAAGAATAATGATTTGGGTACTGGGGAAAGAATGCAGGTGCAATCTCTTCAAATATTAAAAGAGAGAAAGTTCAAGATCAACAGAGCTACAACATTAAGCCTGCACAGAGAGAAGTTTACAATCCTAGGCCATGTCAGAGGACAAAATTAAGGGCTGTAAAAAAAAAAAAGTAAGGATTGGTAATGATAGTAACCCAGTATTTTTACCACAGTGCCTATAGAAGCAGCTGGTAACACTGTGCATTTACATTTTAGTAATAGAGAGCATAGACTCCTAAGCCAATGTATCTAGGTTTGAATCTTGTTTCATTTGCTCTGTGAACCTGGGCAAATGGTATAACCTCTACGCTTCATTTCTGCTCTATAAAATGGAGATGATGACTGAATTCATATAGCTCAAGATAGAAAGAAGGAGTTTGGTAGTACAATGATGAAGTAATTGGCTGCTAACCTTAAGGTGGGTGGCTTGAAATCACCCAGTGGATCCATGGGTGAAAAAACTGGTGAGCAGCTTCCAATAAGATTACAGCCTAGAAAATCCTATAGGGCAGTTACACTCTGCCACCTGCGGTGCTAGGAGTTGAAATGAACTCAACAGCCCTCAACAGCAACAGCAAAAACAGAAGAGACCCATCACAAGCAGTTGTTGTTGCTGTTAAGTACCACTGAGTTGGAATCAACTCAGAGCTGACACTGCAGAGAGTTTTCAAAGGCTAAAGCCTTTAAATCATAAGGGAGAAGACTGCCCATCTTTCTCCCTTGAAGCAGATTGGGGATTCAAATAGTCTGACTTTGAGTTGGCAGTGTAATTCCTTACCCACTAGGCCACCATCACATGCAGAGAGCTCAGGAAATGCTGGCTAATGTCTTGCCTCCCTGGTCTCCATGCAAACCCTCAGGGAATGATGGGAGACAACAGAAGGTCTTGTTCAGAAAAAAACACAGCTCTGGAGATTTGGGCTGACAGTGTATCACTTCCATGAAAGGTCCTGCAAGATCCTGAGTGAAAGTGTCCAGCACTCACACACAGGTTTCTGAAACCTCTTTTTTTTGGGAGACCCCTGCTCTACTGGCTGGACACTTATTTACCATCACTACTGTTTACTTGATATTGTAATGCCGCATTATCTAGAACAGGAAAGTTGATTTTTGCCTCAAAATTTTAAGAAAAATTAGAAAGATTACCAACTACACAGAGATGAGCAGATATATGTACAGGAGCTTTAAAATAAGCTTATGACCATTTAAAAATATTTAAACTATAACCTAAACCAAAACCAGATGATATTTTCAAGAATCTCACATGAGTATAATTTCTCTTGGATTTGGCACAGCTTTAGTAATCTAAAAATGAAAAGTTGGCATTTTAAGAACGTGGTTGTAGAGTTCCAATTTCAAGTCCACACATACACAAACCCTTGGGCAGTTGCCATGACAACATAATGCAGAGCCTACCCAGCTCTTTGTTCTCTTCTTGAAGATGTGCTGCTGAACCACACTCATGTTAGATTCTTTACTAAGTGGAAAAGGTTAAAAAAAAATTCTAGATCTACATGGTTTTCATCCATCCGAGGACTCAAGGCTCAGAAAAGCAAATGCTAAATATATTTTTCTAAAAGAATATGAAAGAAATAACTGGAAGATCAATTACCAATAAAGTGGTGAAGTGTAATACCACAATATTGAGGGGGGAAGGGAATATGCTCACATTTTACTTAGTATGCACCACTTATTTCATGAAGGTTCTCTTGTTTTAAGTTATACTACAACATTTTAATGATTTAATACAATTTGTGTAAGAGTCTCTTATTTTACTAACAATAAGAATCTTGTTTTCTAGCCACATTTATTACAATTCATTTGGGAGCCACACTTTCTTATGCAGGGAGCTCTGGTGGTCTGGTGGTAAGAAGGTGTACTGCAATTCCAAAGGCAGGTAGTTTGAATCCACCAGCTTCTCCGCAGAACCACTCTTCCATGTGATTAATTGCCTCTGAAAACTCCTGGAGGCTCAGCTATGAGTGAGTTCTGCCTAGAAGATGGCACACAACAACTTTCACACACTAATAAGCCATATGGAAATAAGTTGTTTCTAAATAAATAAGCGTTTATAAGCTCTTTTTAAAAGGGAAACAATAGCAACAGGAAAAAGAAGAGAGAAAGAGCCCTTTTGGAGGTTGTGATAAAATGGTTTTCTTTCTTCCACTTTGCCTCCCTTGCAGGTCCCTCTTTCTCTGTTACCACTTGGAAAGCCAGACCCTCTCAAGACTCTGCTGCAGATCCAGGGCACTCCATCCCCTCTCCTCCTCTCTCAGGTGGTCTCATGCTAGGTTTTGGCTGAATTCCAAATCAGCAGATCCAATTACCTTCTAATCTCCTCCACTTTAACACCACTTTAAAGGCACAGCACCTCCTCTTCGGGTGCCCCTTAGCTCAGTAAAGGCAGCGATGAAGGTACACAGTATTCAGTTGGTGAGTGAACCACTCAATTGTTCAGCATGATCAACAAACCAAAAACCTAAAGCCCTTCCTTCTAACTGTCTCCTTTCCCTTCATAAGCCAGTATCCAAGTTCTATTTTACCTCCTAAATAGGTCTCAAACAGGCCCCATTCTCAATACCCTCATTGCCAATACTCTCTGCTTACATTACTGTAACAATCCCCTAACTGTCAAGCAGGAACTGTGTAAGTGTCATACATGGCAGAATTAGGAGGCTAGTGTGTATGAAATAAAAAATTCATTGAAGAAAAGATCACACTTGGTCTAAAGAAAGGAAAACGCGTTTCCTAATTGTGAACCACATATCAAACACTACTCTAGATGCCTTGTTTAATCTCACCATGATTCATTTTATAGACTAAAGTCAATTAGGCACATGGCAGTAGGAGCCTCTCCCAGTCATACTTCTTTGCTTTGCTTTGCTTTGCTTTTTCCAATCAAGTTGAGAAAATTATAAATATTATGATGGTGACAATCATCATCTATTAAGAATTATTCGAAATACTGTTCTAACCATTAGTACTATTTAAGTCTCACCAACCTACTACAAATTAAGTACCACTGCGAAGAATGGGAATCCTAGAACACTTGATCGTTCTAATGTGAAACCTATACTTGAACCAAGTGTTCTGAGATTCCCATTCTTCTCAGTGGTACTTAATTTGTAGTAGGTTGATGAGACTTAAATAATACAAATCGGTTAGAACAGTATTTTGAATAAATTCTTAATAGGTGCCTTTGAGCTGTGGTGCTGGAGAAGAGTATTGAGGGTACCATAGACTGCTAGGAAAACAAACAGATTCATCCTGGAGAGGGTTAAACCGGGATGCTCCTTGGAGGCAAGGATTCTGAGGCTTCGTCTGACATACTTTGGTCATATTGTAAGGAGAGACCGGTCCTTGGAGAAGGACATCATGCTTGGGAGGGTGGAGGGCAGGCACAGGAGGGGAAAGCCCTTTAGGAGGTGGATTGATTCGGTGACTGGGGTACATAATCAGGATGAGAGTGTAGGAGACAGTGAGACTGGCACAGGACAGAGCAGAGTTTAGAGCTATTGTACATAAGGTCGCTAAGTCACAAGCGACTCAATGGCACATAACAATAAGAACAACAACATTTTGCTTGGAAGCAGGAGTGGCATCCACTTCCTAAACATGTCTCTGGAAACTCCATGAACTTTGAGAAAGGCTTCAGGTCTTTTTTTTTTCATAGGTTTGCTATGAATCGTGCTTGATTTGACGGCAATCAACAATGACAACAAAAACAATAATTCTATTTTGCAGATGAGGAAACTGGGGCAGCTGGAGGGGTACGGGGGGATTGTGTACCACGGAGGGAGTGTTTGTTTTACTTTTGAAAGAGAGGAGCAAACGGGAGGGGGGGTGGGCTGGGCGGGAGAGATGTGCAGCAATGAATTAATGGAAATCCAAAATCTCTGTAAATGCTCATTAAAATTACTTAATAAAAAAAAAAGTAAAAAAACAAAACAAACAAAAAACTCCAACAGACCAAACAATATCAATATGCAGTTCAGGTTTTGAAATTAAATCTCTCCATTTTTAGCAAGTATTAAGAGAATGGGCAATTATCCCCTGAGTGATTAATTGCCTCTGAAAACCCCCTGGAGAGACAGCTATGGGTCTGCTCCTACTCAAGGTATCCAACAACAATAAGCACCTGTTACATATAACACATTACTAGTACTACTGAGAACTCAAAGCTAGAGGACATGGAGGCATCTCAAGGGTCTTGTATAGATTTTGAGAAGTCTCTCTCCAGGGTCAGAACTGTTTCATGACCTCCTCTCTCTATTCAGTGAGGGAACCTCCACAACTCCATTCCATCTCCAAAAGGCATATTTCAAGTACAGTCAAGGCTGCCAATCTCACAATCACACAGTTTTCCATGAACGAAGTACCAAAAGAAGATGCGTAAGTGTGTATACTAATCTAGTGACAAGTCTGAGTATTTTTCTTAAAAGCATTTTTCCACAAAAATAAAGGCACTTGTGAATTAAGGCATAGGCTTTTTTGTACCTTTCTCTTCCATAAAGTTTTAACTTAATACTTACAATTTTATAACTCCATCTGAGCACTTGGAGCAGTGCTGCTGGCCACTCTTGTCTTGTTTATGTTGACTCTGCCCCAGCTGAACAAATCTGCAAATAACAATGGAAAAAAGAAAGCTGAGGCAGGAACTACTTGCAATGAATTCAGTAGATCCTAGATATGAGCTTTCAAAAGATAGAGTGAATATGGTTATTTCAGAAAAGCACACTTTAAACTTGCTGGAGATCCAAGGATCACAGAATCTATGGCTGATCCTTCTGTGTCCTCAATCTATAAACCACAACTGACCCTCGAAGCAGGTTTTCAGAGGCAGTATTGACTATCCTCATGCATAGCAGCTGGTAGATTAGAACCATGAACCTGGCCTAACAGTAAGAAGCTGTGTTGCAATCTCAAAGGCACATAGTTCAAATCCACAAGGCATTCCATGGGACAAGAGTGGGAAATCTCCTCAGATGTGATTTACTGCCACTAAAAACTCACTGGAGGGTTTGCTATGGGAGGGTTCCAACTTGACCACACACAACAACAACACAATCTATGCATTAGCAGCACAATTCCTTACCTCTAAGCAACCAGAACCTTACATGAGTCCCTAATTATACAGTGATACATTTGGAACCACTCTGTAAAATGCCACATGAATGAAAAGTGGTGCTGGGAACACCAAAAACAGAATCCTGTTGCAGGACCTGGATTCCTTCCTCCCCTGCTGCATTCCCTTCCTTACTCCTCTGTCTACTTCTGCGTCTTACTCAGACTAAACACTTCCCAGGATGTTGGGACTAGACACGTCTGCAACCTGATATTTCCTTCACTGTATGATAGCAGAAGCAGAAGTGGGCCTTGGAGACATTCTGGAACCTTTTGGCTCCAGATGCACATCATGCTTGATGCAAAAGCTATCTTCCTTTTTGCTTAACCTGAGCCAAAGCTTCAGTCCCTGACATGTGAATTCACATTCTCTACAATAAGAAGAGCCATTGGCTGTTGATGTCAACTGCTGTCAAGTCAGCTGGTGACTCACAGCAACCCAATGAACAATGAAACAAAACGTGACCACTCCCTTGACTGGCTGTGGATAGGATCAATGTGATTTACAGGGTTTTCATTGACTAACACTTTTGGAAACAGACCGCCAAGCCTTTGTTCCTAGTATCTCAGTCCAGAAACCTCACTGAAATCTGTTCAGTAAGATGCAGCATCCTCTGCCAAAGGGGTGATGGCTATAAGTAATGAAACGACTGAAGATCCAATCTGGGACTTTGCATGGAAGCCAAGAATTCTACAACCATCAACGCCCCAGTCAGTTCTAAAAGAATTTCCTTATTTTGGTATTATTGATTATTCTCCTGTTCAAAAGGTCACATCATTTATGTCATTGTTATAACAAGTTCTCATTGTTTCCTTACCCTCTACATAAAACTGCCTTACCTTGAATAAATGGAGAAGTCATCTTCTGAAAGGCCATCGGAGAGGTTAATCCCATATACTTCTTTCATTGGCTGAACAACATTCTGGGGTTAAAAAATGCACAGAAATAATTTAAGCATCGAGTATATTAATTTTGACAGATGAAGGGGGAACTGTGATTTTTTTCATAAGAACAATTATAATTTTTCTTTGATCTATTCATTAAACTTCTCAGCCATTGGCCAAAAGTAATGATTTCCATTTCTACTAAAAATATTCTTATAAGAAGGGAAAAACCCCTTAGTTATTAGCTGCTTCAGAATTGTGCATTTATTTTCAAGCTCTGGTGGGAGAGTCTGTAGGGAGCTAGGTTGCTAATCCAAAGAGGATGTCTCTGTAGTGCTTTGAATCCACCAGCACCTCCACACGAGAAAGATGGGCAATCTCCTGCTAGGCGATTCATGGATTTTGGAAAACTTGCTGGAGAGTCAGCTATAAATCAGCTGACTCAAAGGCAGTAAGTGCGAGTTTTAAGGTTTTGGGGGTTTTTTCCTTCCTTTGATATTGATTTGCCTACAAAGTTCATGAACACTGTGTTTCATACTATTCTTCATGATTATGTGTTTCATATAATCATTCCATGCATTGTTTGTTGTTGTTGTTGTTATGTGCCATCAAGTCACTTGTGACTCATAGAGACACTATGTACAACAACCCTAAACCCTGCTCTATCCTGTGCCAACCTTACTGTCAATGACACACCTACCCCCATTACCCCAGTCACGGAGTCAATCCATATCAGAGAGGGTCTTCTTCTCTTGCTCTGTCATCCCTCCACCCTCTCAAACATTATGTCCCTCTCCAAGGACTGCTCCCTTTGCAAAATGCACAAAATATGTCATATGGAGCTTCAGAATCCTTGACTCCAAGGAGCAGCTTAGTTTCACCCTCTACAGGATGAACCTAATTGTTCCCCTGGCAGTCCATTCAATGCTCTTCTCCAGCATCACAGCTCAAAGGCATCAATTCTCTTTCTGTCATCCCTAATAATTGCCCAGCTTTCTGCCACAAAGCAAGTAATTGCTAATTCTATAGCCTGGATCAGGTGTACCTTAGTCTCCAGACTAATGTCATTTCTCTTCAGTACTCTGGACAATACATTTCCTGACAGCACATTTTCCCAATTCAACTCATCATTTCATTTCCTGTCTGCTAGTACCAAGAGCACTGATTGTGGAGCCAAGCAAACAAAAGTAGTAACAATGTCAATCTCTTTACTGTCTATCATGATGCTGCCAATCAGCCCAGTGCTGAGAATCTTTGTTTTCTTTATGTTGAGCTTCAATCCATATTGAATGCTGATATTTTTTATAAAATTAACCAATACTGGACCTTGCTCATGATTACCGTCTGTTTAGGTCCCCACAAGATCCTTCACACCCTCCCTCCACTCACCAAATTATGGAACTCTGTGGTTTTGTCGAGGGAATTAACTCAGTTTCATAAGGACAAATACTGCATAAGACCATTATTATAAAAACAGATGGATACCTAGTAAAACATGTGAGGGTAAGGATGAGTTTTGAGGTTTTAATACTATGTGGAAGTTGGCAAATAATTTTCTGTAAAAGGTCAGATAGCAAATATTATAGGCTTTTGGGGCCATACTGTCTCTTCTCTGCTACAAATACTTAACTATTTTGTTATAGTGTAAAATTAGCCATATGGAGTATGTAAGTAAATAGACATGGCTGCATCTCAATTAAATTTTACCAAAATATGCTGCATTTAGCACAAAATCATTAATTTTTTTGCCAACTCTTTTTAGACTAGGTATGGCTTTTGACTACTTACATAAATTTTCCCAAGGCTAGATTTAGTCTTTCGTTTTCTCTTTTTCCCCCCTCCACTTTATTTTTTAATAGTGATGTGAGTAAATGTTCACACAGCAAATTAATTTTCACTCAAACCTTCATAAGCATATTGTTCCATAACATTAATTTCAATATTCACAATATAATGGCACTTTAACCACTTCTTGCTCTTAAGGGTAAAGCACTTGTCTGTCAGTTGGTTGTACTGTGGTGACTTGCATATTGCTTTAATTCTAGAAGCTATCTATATATTGCAAATACTAGCAGGGTTACTCATAGTAGACAGGTTTGGAGCTTCCAGACTAAGACAGATTAAGAAACAGGTCTGGCTGCCCACTAAGTGCCATGGAGTTAAATATGACTAATAGAGACCCTCTGAGTAGCAGTTCTGAATCCTGTCCTATCCTGCATCATCCTCATCATCCCCAACACACTTGAGCCCATTGTAAGTCATTGACTCAATTGATCTGGTTGAGGGTCTTCCTATCTTTCACTGCCCCTCCACCTTTCCAAGCATGATGTCTCTTTCCAAGGAATAGGCTCTCCTTAGCAACTTGCCTAAACAAAGTATGTGAAATGGAGTTTCACCATTCTTGCCTCTAAGGATTAACATTTTAGTAAAAGGTGCACCAGATCTGAGCCATGATCGTTGTATTTACTTGCTATTCATCAAAGAGCTGGACAAGGACTAAGGATAATAGAAGAAGAATCAATGTCTTTGAGTTGTGGAAAGAGTACTGTAAAAACAGACTGCTCCTTGGAGGCAAGAATTCTGAAGCTCTGTCTCATACTTTGGGCACATGCCCTGGAAGAACAGTCCTTTGAGAAGAAGACCATGTTTGGAAGGGTGGAGGGACAGCAAAAGAGAAAGACCCTGCATCAGATGGATTGACTCAGGGACTGGGGTCATGGGAGTGCTTGTGTTGGAGACAATGAAATTGGTTCAAGATAGAGCAGGGTTCAGAGCTGTTGTGCATAGCATTGCTATGAGTTGCAAGTAACTCAATGGCACATAACAACAATAACAATGTCAGACTGAACAGAATCAACTTCCCACTGGGACTATTCACAAGTCGTAAGTCTGCATCCCCACAATGCATGAGTATATGATAAACACTATCCCAAGGGTAATGTTCTGTGTCATAGAGTTGAAACCAACCCATAACTGACATTCTAGTGGGTTTTCAGAGGCAGTTAATCACACAAGAGGAGAATGCCCAGCCTTATCAAGCAGAGCAGTTGGTATATTTAAACCATGCGTCTTCAGGATTGCAGTGCAGCTTCTTACCACTAGGCCACCAGAGTTCCCCGCCTCAAGGGTTAAATAAGGGCAAGATTTTCATAGACTTTCTACAGAGATAGGAAATTGAACAACATTTATGTTGTCAGGACTTTTGAAAACGGCTTTTCTAGCCATTGCCCTGGACCCTCTCGGAGTATGGTCTCCAATTGCCACAACTACTGACACATGATTCATTGCTGATCAATGTTCTCTAAATCAACAGCTATGGAGCCAACCTCAGGGGCAGTGCTGGCCAGATTGTGGAGATACAGCAGTGAGGCGTAGCCTGATGGGACCCTGGAAATGGCTTTGCATCTGGACAATTGGAGGAAGAGCTGACTTGAGATTGCTGAGACTAGGCTTGCTGAACGATTGAGAAAACCTAGAGGTTTCTTGAACTTGGGTGCTGAACTAAAACCTGGGGACTTTCTCTGTGTGTTATCCTTTGCCTTCCCTCCTACTCCCCAAACCTGTTTCCCTAATAAATCCAGCAACTTTTGCAACAAGTATTGGATCCAGTGATGTACAAGTGGGTGCAGCAGAGCTTTGGGCCATTGTCTGCTGGGTGGCTATTACTTTGGTGCTGTGGATGCTACTACTGATGTGGACAGTTCCCATTTGTAGAGTTAGCTGAGTCAGACTTGGCCACCCCCATGTTGTTCCTGATTCTTTTACAACATTGTACATGGAACCAAAAACTCTAATACAAACTTCAAAATCAATACACTTTGAATAATGTCTATGGTAAATAACACTATGCAGTGTGTCCAACTTCCCACATCAAAACACTCTCAGATCACACACATCATTTTCTTGCTCTAAGCCTAACTGAATACAGAATCTCAAAGAGTCATTCTCCAGAGCCTTGCACTGGGCTGCACAAGCTCTCCATGCCCCACCTCAGTCACTTTGGCACTGTCTCCCGCGTCGGTCATCTTCACTGGAGTGGAGCGCTGTGACACTGATCCTTCATCCTCCCGGTCGGTCCCAGAGTCGTCCTCAGAGCTGCTGGACACAGCCTCCTCGCTGGGGGGTGGCGGAGCACTGGCTGCTGTTTTCCGCTGTAATACGGCTTCTTCTCTATTGCTTTTGTTTCTTTAAAAAAGGTAAAAATGAATGTGAAGCAGCTTTAAACTGAACCCTCAAAACTCACTGTGCATTTACATTGCCCCAAAGACTTAGTCTTCCTGAAACGTAAGGAAATGACTGTGAGATTCGAGTATCTACAGTCAAATTATGCTAAAGGCAAAAGCTTGACATATCACCATGTACATGTACTGGCCTTATGTGAATTTAAGCCCTGCTACAAAAATCAGAAAATAAACACAATGCACTTAAAAAGTACTTAAAAGTCTCCTTACTATCAGGCCACAGAACTTTCTTTTGATAGATGAAATGAACATTTACAAAATTTATGGTACTGTAAGAGATGATATATATGCTTGGGATATTAGTAAAGTTATCTATAATCATGTACAAAGTGGAAGAGTATTCCTGCAGATATAAACAGGACTAGTTTCATTTAGCAGTGGTTAAGTGTCAAGTTGAATACAACTGAGAGTATATTTTGCACAAAAGACCTGAACTCTGTTCTTTAACTAACGTCATTTCTGTTCATTTATAGAGTTTAGAGTGTTTGTAGAGTTTAGAGAGTTTGTAGAGTTTCCAGAGGCATCTAGTTTAGGAAGTGGATCCCACTCCTGCTTCCCAGCAAAAATCAATCTGGAGGCTCATCCAAACACTGTACATAATGGGTAACCATTATGGTATTTGACATGACTATGGAACAGTGTGAAGCATCACAGCAACACCAAGTTGTTCAGTTCAGCAAATAGAAAAAAGATTACTATTTCATTTAAGGAATATTCATTCAAAAATTAATAAATTTACTAATTCATAAAAGTCCCAGGTTCCAGGTCCCAGCCAGCAGTTCCTATCCCCTCCCACCGCAGGGTTTTAAAGGCACACCTGTGAGCAGATTTCCACCCTAGGAAAAGGCTCCAGGATACCCACTCTTGAGGGGAAAGAGCAGTAATATACATCAGATACAACCCCAAAAATTTCTCTCACATGCTCATGAGGACTGCTATTAGATGCAGCAAAAAGCCAAAGTCCCAGAGTGGAGGTTCCAGGCCCCAGCCAGCAGTCCCATCCCCTTCCCCTGGCACTAGTCTGAGAATATTGTTTCTTAATTAAGAAAAAAAAATTCTAGAAATAGTTTTGGCTTCTGTGAAAAATATTTACTATTTCCCCTTTAAAAAATTTTCCCTAAAGGACTAAAAAACACCATTGAAATGGTAAGGAAAATGCAAAGGTATTTCACCTTTGTTTGTAAGTTAAAATAACTTAGTTTCTGATTATTTGCAACTAAAAATTAAAGTTGATAGCATCACTGTGTTATGCACTAACATAACTGGTCATTTACCCTTTTTTGCCTTGGAAATTCCTTGAAATCAATATTTCCTGGAATTTTCTTTTTCAAAATTTCCTCTTGGTATCCTTCTCTATTTTTTATCAACAAAAAGAAATACAATAAATGTAAATTTCTACTTAAAGTTTCATGTCATAGATAATGCAAGAAAATAGTTTATTTATAGAATACAACACATACTATCTACTCCTTGCCTTTATGCCATTTGCTACATTGGTAATTTAAAATAATAAAACGGATTGAATTGCTGAAATTCTCCTAAGTTCTACTTTTGATGTTGAATGCTTTAGTGATTTCTGAGTTCTAGATAACCACCTGAATAGATAAAATAAGTAGAATATGTTGCAAACTATCTGACTTCACGTTGCTAGGTTTTGGTAGAAATTATATTGCAAGTGCTATCATTTTATATGAATCTTTAAAAAGTTCACTATCAATTGCAATGGGAAAATCTGCTAACAGGAACCTCTCTAAAGTACTGAAGAGCAATGATGTCAGTCCAGAGACTAAGAAGTGCCTGATCCAGGCTCTGGTCTTCACAATTAATTACTATGCATCAGAGAGCTGGACAATGACTAAGGATGATAGAATTAAAATTGTTGCCTTTGGTTTGTGGTGCTGGGAAGAGTACTGAATATGTACTTACCATGGACTGCTAAGAGAACAATCAAGTTTACCCTAGACAGAGTAAAACCAGGTTGCTCCTTGCAGGAAAGGATTTTTAAGCTTCATCTGACATACTTTGGACACATTGCCCAGAGGAATCAGTCCTTGGCACAGGACAACATGCTTGGGAAAGTGGAGGAACAGCACAAAAGAGGAAGACTCTTGAGATGGACTAAGTGACTGGAGTAATGGGGTTAGGTGTGTTGGAGACAATGAAGCTGGCTCAAATAGAGCAGGGTTCGGAGCTGTTGTTATGAGTTGCAGGCGACTCGATGGCACATTACAATAGCAACAACAACAACATTCTTTTACACCCATAAAAGCTACATTTTTAATACTCAATAAAAAGATATTTTGCAAAAACTTCAAGGAGAACTAGTAGCACAGCAGGTTAAGCACTGGACAGCTAACAAAGGTCGGCAGTTCAAATCCACTCCTGCTCCTCAGTATACAGGTGAGGCAAACTCCTGTAAAGACTGACAGACAAAGGGGCCAGGTCTACTCTGCCCTATGGAGTCTCCAGTCTGCAAGTGACTTGGTGGCAGTAGGTTTGGTTTGGTGTAGTCTGCACTGGCATTGCTTATCCTGGAATGCCAGAGATCTTTGTCGCTGGTGCCCTCCATAAGCTGTGGATCTCTATAAGCCATGGACCTCCATTGCCGGTGGCCCTCTGTAAGCTGTGGACCTCCATCGGCCACACACCTTTGCTGGCCACAGACATCAAGTCAGTCAATCGTACTGTTATGACAGCTTTTCTGTTTCTTTGGAGCACTGCTGGCATAATTAGCGAGTTCTATCCTAAGGGTTCCACGGTGACCAAGGTTTATGATATTCTGTAAACCATGATGAAAACTTCTACAAAGCCACAAGCGATCCCTCTTTATTGTGATACACACGTTACTGGGAAGACAAACTGCTCATAATATTAGCACCATACAGCATTTTTTTAAATCTATGTATAAGGGGATCTGCAGAATTCAAACACAAGTTGTTCAAGGGTCTGAATTTAAAATTTTATACTGTAAAGGGTGAAGAAGTGGCACATTTCTTGTACTCAGTTACACTGAACATTAAGGGTAATTTTGACACTAACTGTATGTACAACACATTGTAGTTAAAATGTTGTTATTGTGTGTCGAGTCAGACCCATAGCTGGTCATCTAGCAGGTTTGGGTTTTCAGAGGCTATATAACGTAAAGGAGAAGAACAGTTGGTGGATTCAAACCCCATGCCTCTGGGACAGTAGCACATATCCTTACCACTAGGCCACCAGAGCTCCCTAAATAAAGTAATGTTGTTAAAACACTATATAATAATTAAAAAAAAAGTTCATTATCCATGCAAATCTTACCCCAATACTGATTTTCCAGTTTCATCGGGTTTACGTACAGTAAAAGGACTTGGATCAATGCCAATGGTCTTTGGCATAAAGTCACTAAGGAAAGAGAGAAAAAGAAATCTTAACATTCATATGACTCACTGTCCGTCCATCCAGGTGATAAAACTCCCATCTCAATTCCTTCTTTACCCTCAGAACTACACATTTCCTGAGCTAAATGTTCTGCATGGCCCCAGGTGATCTGGGTCATACAATTCAACGTACCAGGTGCCAGGTGGCACTTCCACGTTATTAATTTTTACTGGGAATCCTTCCTGATTACAAGGTCTAATTGTGCTGACTGGAAGATTTTAGTCACTTCAGCAGTGCTACTATCTGAATTTACTGCTAAGATGTTTTCCATATGATTATATATTGTGTCAGGTAAAATTAAACTCATAAAAACAGTGGCAAAACACTAGCTGTTCCATTTTATAGACAGTATTTTTAAGCCCTACCACCTAAGGAGACTGGCATAATGATCAAAAGCACAGTGGTATGAAATGAAGTATCAACATCTACCTCATTATGCTGAAGTTCATTCCTTAGGACCCTGCTGGAACACCTTAAATAGAAACTGTTTTAATTTATCGCTTGCTGAGATAAGTGATAACTACTCCTTCATTCTGCAATGGCTACCTTACTATTAGTGCTGAAGCCAGACCAAACTCCCAAACAGATGGTAAGAAATACAAAGCAACAGCTCTATGATGTATGCCAGTAAGATTCAAACCTCATAAAGCAAGGACACTGCTCCAACTGTGTAATGAATATTACATTTTTGAAAGGAAAAGAAAGTAGTCTTGAGTCAGGCTCAAAATGTCTATTTTAACAAATTGAAAGTGCTTTTAAAATGTAACTGATTCACTTTTTCTTTGTTTCCTTTTGAGTATATATATCTCATATAAATCACATATATCATATACGTATGATATATATATGTATTATTTCATTTGTCCCCTGCTACGTTAAAAGAAAACAAACTTGTAGAAATGACAAAGATGTTGCAGTTAAAACTGCCAAACTTGAAAACACATTTAATCGTGAATCAAGCAAGTAAAAGTTTCAAACTTTTTCTATCTGTAACTGACTCAAAATGTAAAGTGGTTTCTAGGAAAGTGAAACAGAATATATTTCCATATTCAGTTTAAATATGGAAACACATTAGAAGAAAAGGCAAAATGCAAAATTTTAACTTTTAGTATAAAATACAATAATGAAAAATTACTTGCTTTGCCAAATTTTTCCATTCTGGCTCCACCACTTTTCCTAAAAAGACCCACTAGGTTCTAAAAGGGACACAGTGAAAATAAAGTCCACCCAAAGATGACAGATGAGGAAATGTTACATGAGTTATGGAGAAAGGAATAAAGGATATTCACCATGAAAAAAGAAGAATGTCTCCTCCACTGTCTAGAGGGCTCTCATGAAGAAGAAGAAGAATTACATTTGTCCTGTGTGTAATTAAAACAGTCCTGTAAACTAAACCACTGTTGTGGAGTTCACTCCAACTCCTGGTCACCCTGTTTTCACACAGTAGAACTGTATTTCATAGGGTTTTCAACAGTTGATTTTTGGAAAGTAGATTGCCAGGACTTCTTCCAAGGTACCTCTGGGTGGATGGAAACATTCAATCTTGTGGTTGGCAGTTGAGCACACTAAGCATTTAAACCACCCAGGGACTCCAATATAATAAAAGCTACAATTTACTAATCATTTACCTATACCAGGCAAAATATATCACATATTTGTATATACACATATGTATGCACAGATAGATATAACCATATGAGAGATGTAGAAAATAAGGCACAGAAAGGTTAGATCATTTTCTCAGTGGCTGCTCTAAGCTATTCAGCCATTTCTAGCTTAAAGACTACACATTTCCTAGCAATTTATGACAGTCCTCAGATTTCTCTGTTCAATTTCTAAAAATGAGCTTACTCCATATGGCAAACCAGGACCAATGAGAGGCAGATTTCAACTTCTCAAAGGGGAAATAGGAAATGCAGCTGCCAAACGGTAAAAGGGGCGTGCCTTGAAAAGGTAGGATCCCCAAGACACCCTGAAGGTCTTCTAATAGAGGCTGACAACGTGAGCCTCAAGTAGAGGCCCAACTTTCTGGGAAAGTTAGACACAACTCTGTAAACCAGGAAATCAGTAGTTCCCAGACACTTAACAGTCTCAGGGTACTCATAACATACCGTGCTGAACTTGTCATAGCCAAGCAAAAGGTATCATCAAAATTACTCAGTTCATAGGGCCGGAAGAACTCATTGTGGATATCGATCTCTTCTTCGTGTTTGTGAAACTTCTTCACCATCAGTTTCTTCAAGTTTGCCGCACAGATCGCTAAGAGAGTGAATTCAGTCTGTTACTCTTAAAGTCTTTAAGATTATACACAGCAAATAGCACTGTATTCACAGAGGGCACTGTGGGGAGCTCTGTAAGGGACACAGCACTGAATATGGGTCAGCTCCTCTCTCTGGCACTAGCACACATGGAAAAGGAGACAGGAGTCATGTAGGGGGGAATACAACACACAGCTGACTCGACAGAATTTAATGAGGCCTGAGGCCTCTGACTTCGAGGTGAGACAGGAAGGTTATTTTGGTTTTTAATTTTTTTTTATTATTATTTTTATTGTGGTTTGAGTGGACATTCACAGAGCAAATTAGTTTTCTATTCAACCATTAACAGAGTTTGGTTTTTGACACTGGTTGCAATCCCTACAATGTAACAGCACTCTCAGCATGCTCTTCTTGCCTTCCTCATTTACATTCATCCTTCTGTCTTTCCCCTTCCTGCCTTCTGAGTTTTGTTTTTGGGCAAATGTTGCCCTTTTGGTCCCAGATGGTTGAGGGATATGATCCAGTTATCTTGAGCAATATGATCCAATCTGGTCTTCCTGATCACCGTACAGTCCTGTCTACTGTTTGGCTGAAAATCAACCAGGGATATGTTCAGTTACAGGCCTGAAGGGTATGCAAGGGCCTTGGTCTCAGGGACTCCTTCACTCTTGTTCAGACAAGTAAAGCTGGTGAATTTTGCTCCACAGGCTTTTTTTTTCCCTGTGGAAGTTATTTTAGAAGTGAAATTACTCACTTCCTTATGTGTCTTTTGCTCTTAAGTAAAAACTATTTTCCTTGTAGATTAAAAAAAAATCTGCAGCTATTCTTACTAAGTTTTCAAATGTATTTTTTAATATAAGATTTCCAATTTTGTGACTGCTCATTATTACAATGTTAAAATATTTTCTTCCAGAACAACCAGGACTTTCAAAACAGTGTAGTATGATTTAGCTCAGAATTTGAAAATGATAAATTATTTTTCTACAATGAGTCAATAATTCATTAAGAATTAACCACTACCCACTCCCCCACCCACCCCCCAAAAAAGGCATTAAAACCCATTTGAAATCTTCTTTTTTTATGTTCTTTGCCACCTAAAGTTGAAAGGCTAAAACCATGGCTTGGCTAAATAGTGCCCCCCTCAACCTCAGCATTGTAGGCTGCCAGTAGTAGATCTTTCTGTCCCTTTCCAAATGGCTTGTCCATGGTCAGTGAGGGGGCTCTGTTGCCTTGTGGATAAAGAGATGCACTGCTACTTCAAAGGCAGCAGTTTCTACTCAATAGGAGAAAGATGGGCAATCTCTTCCTGAATGATTTATAGCCTCTGAAAACCCACTGAAGGTTTCACTATGAGTCATTTCTGACTGGAGGACATAAAACAACATGGTCAGTGGAATCAACAATAAGTCACAGTCAAAATGGTTCTATTTAAAATGGGACAATTATTTCATTTAGAAATTCCAATCTAATGTATTATATAAATTTAGGTATTCCTTTAACATAAATATTCTCCTGTTTTCTGATAAATAAAAATACCACTTAAACTTTAGTGATCTAAATGTACTTTAACATGCACATCTTTGTCATTTTGGATATAGGAGGTAAAGGTTTTATTCCTTACTTTCTCCCCATTTCTGAAAACTATCTAGAGATTTAATCAGCATTAACATGATAGTCATAGAACAGGTTTCAGATCTCTTATTCACAGTCACTACGAGTCATGCTTGACACGACAGGACTTAACAACAAGATCTATTTTATATTTATGGACAAATATATCATTCTTTACCCACCAAATTTAAGAGGGACATATCTAATCACTGTATAGCACAATGCAGGGCATTGGACAGGTCTGATAAAAAGAAATATAATCTCTCCCCTTTAAGAAGTGGAAAGATAATACAGGCCTTATTTATCAAGATAGCAACAACAGCTTAGGCTTGACACTCATTTCTATAAAATATGATATACTAAAGACTTGATGCTTCAAGCTTATTTAGATAAAATAGCCAAACATATTAGTATAAAAACTAAAATCAATGTACCTACCTTCATCATAGGGCAATGGCAGATACTTTATTACCTCTGGTGTCCACCAATAAGTGTAACTATTAAGGGGAGAAAAAAGGGGGGGGGAAGGATAAGGTGAACCAATTGTAAATGCTGGTTTTCTAAAATGCATTGTAACTCAAACAGTTAAGTGCTTGACTGCTTGCCAAAAGGTTAGAGGTTTAGACCCACTCAGATGCATGTGAAAAGGCAGGTGTGGTGATCTGTGAAAGGTAATTGTTTGGAAAATCCTCAGAGCAGTTCCACTTGGCACACATGAGGTGCCAGGAATTGGAACTGACTGAAGTTATCCAACATCAGCACGGTCTACAAGAAGATACTGTCTCTTGCTTCAGAGTTGGTTTTCTTTTTTTTTCCAAAACATGTTTGTAGAGCTTTTGACACAGAGTAGGTATTCAACACGTTAAATGCTTTCTTATTTCAATTATGTCATAAATCTGTAAAAAGGCCATGAACAGATAACTCAGAGTCAAAATCATTCTGATGGTACTTTCAGTCAAAAAAGAAGAGAGATGCGGGCATACTAAGGTAGGCACCAGGAGCTACTGTTTTCCCAAATACTCTGTCTACAGTTAATAAATAAGCAGTGGGCAGAGGGACCTTGGCCCAAGTCCTTGCTGAGGCTTTTTGAGTTATGCTATTTTGTGCTTGCAAGTTAGTGCTGCCTTCTAGCAACCCTACAGAACACAGGAGAATTGTCCCATTGGGTTCCCACGGCTGTAATCTTCACGGGAGCAGAATGTCCCATCTTTATACCACTGACCTTTTGACCAGAGGCTGAGCTATTAACCATTGCATTGTCAGGGCTCCTTAAGAGAGCAGAATAAGTCCTGCTTATTTTTTTCTTTTTTAAAAAAATTTCCTTGAGCAACCAGAGGTGTGACCTTTAGGTTGGCAGTGTTACTCTCTATGGACTATGTCACCAAAGCAGACTATTATTTATACGTTAATAATTAAATACACGTGTATTACTAAAGGTTAGGGAGCTCTGGTGGCCTAGTGGCAAGAAGCTGTGCTACAATCCTGAAGGCATATGATTCGAGGCCACCAGCTGCTTTGCGGGAGAAGGATGGGCAATCTCCTTCCAAACAATGAACTGCCTCTGAAAACTCACCAGAGGGTCAGCTATGAGTCAGTTCTGACTTGATGGTACAAAACAACAACGTAAGGGCAGTTGGAGTTGAGATAATATATATCTGGTTTGGTTAACTAGTTTTGCACTGAATAGAAGAAATGTTGAGAGAAAGGGAGTTCTAGTGATTCCTTAAAGAAGTCTACTACATTCGGTGTATGTGTTTGGGAATGGATGCTGAGTAGACTCAGTATCTTTTGCAGGGACTTCTGTTGATTTTGATGAGGAGGAAGAGCCTCACATGGATTACTGGGCCCTGAGTGCCTGGCCATAGATGTCCTGCTCCCTCACCCGCACTTCACCTACAGCATAGTGCTGTCATAGTACAGAGAAGACCCCAGAAACCATAAACAAAGCCAAGGCCCACAGCCCCTCATGGCAGTGGCTCCAGAGTGGCTCCAGATGGTACCGTCTGTGTGCAGTGAGGATGATCTGAGTGGTTATTAGCCCTACACCTGTGTGCAGGAATTGACCGACGTGGCCGTGACAGAGCTGCGCTATCATAGGTATAGTGGGAAGCAGTTCCTGTTTAGAGGGGAAAAGGGAAGTGATAGCCCTGCATATCCCTGCTCAGGAGGGAACGGGGTGTTGGAGGGAACTAGACATAGGAAAGCACTGGGTGCAGAGATTCCCATCTCAGCTCCAGAGTGAGCCTTCAGTGGTCCCTCCCAAAGTTGTTTCCCTGTGGGCCAGAGAATGCTACACTCTGTATACGTCTCAGGAATTTACATTCCAGGATCAAGAATTTCATTAAAAAAATAAATAAAAATTTCCATTCACTCATTGTTGCACATTTTCCTCACTGCCCACCCCACCCCACCCCCCAGTTAACTTTTCTCTTTAAAAATAAAGTTATTTCATTGTTGTACATTCTCCTGACACTCCTGTTGTTGTTGTTGTTGTTATGTGCCGTCGAGTCGCCTGCAACTCATAGCGACCCTATGTACAACAGCCCTATACTCTGCTCTGTCCTGTGCCAATCGCACTGTCTCCGACACTCCCATCCCGATTATCCCAGTCACTGAATCAATCCACCTCATAGAGGGCCTTTCTCTCCTGTGCTGTCCCTCCACCCTCCCAAGCATGATGTCCTGCTCCAAGGACCGGTCTCTCCTCACAACATGTCCGAAGTACGTTAGACGGAGCCTTAGAATCCTTGCCTCCAAGGAGCCACCTGGTTTAACCCTTTCCAGGATGAATCTGTTTGTTTTCCTAGCAGTCCATGGTATTCTCAATACTCTTCTCCAGCACCACAGCTCAAAGGCATCAATTCTCCTTCTATCTTCCTTGGTCATTGCCCAACTCTCTGATGCATAACAAGTGATTGTGAAGACCATAGCCTGTATCAAATGCACCTTAGTCTCCAGGGAGACACCATTGCTCGTCAGTACTTTGGAGAGGTCCCTAACAGCAGACTTTCCCATGGCAATGCGCCTTTTAATTTCCTGGCTACTGGTGCCAAGACTGTTGACTGTGGAGCCAAGCAAACTAAAGCTGTGTACAATCTCAATCTCTTCACCATCCATCCTGATGCTGCCAATTGGTCCAGTGGTGAGAATCTTTGTCTTCTTGACATTGAGCCTCAATCCATATTGGAGGCTGCAGTCCTTGACCCTCTGCAGCAGGTGCTTCAGGTCCTCTTCATTTTCAGCAAGCACGGTTGTGTCATCTGCATAATGCAGAGTGTTGATAAATCGTCCACCAATCTGGTGGTGGACACCCCTAGTCCACTTAAGTATGCAGCTCTTATTCTAGACTGTTGTCATTCAAATAATACCTAATAATATATTCCTTTTAGGCAGTTCTTTTCCTCATCCTTTCAAAGCAGTGTACATTATTTATTTATCCCCTCTTAGTTTCCCACTAACCCCGATGTCAGTCCTGTTTTATAACAATGACATTACGCAATATTTGTCCTTTCCTAACTGAGATATTTCACTCAACATAATGTTCTCCAGGGTCACCCATTTTGTATAATATTTCATGAGTTCCTTATGAGATACCATCTCACCCCAGTACCAATAGTAAAATTCAGCAGGGCAGCAAACAATAAATGCTGGAGAGGTTGTGAAGAAATTGGAATCATTATTCACTGTTGGTAGGAGCATAAAAATGGTGCAATCACTCTAGAATGGGCAGTATGGCATTTTCTCAAAAATTTAGAAATAGAAATACCATTTGACCCAGCAATTCCACTACTGAAAGTATAACCTAAAGAGAAATAAGAACTGCCACCCATTACTGCTGCATTGTTCACCATAGCAAAGAGATGAAAACAGCCCAAGTGTCCATCAACAAACAAATTGATAGAGAAGTTGTGATATAATCCTGCTTATTTTTAACTGTAGATACTTATCACTTGATTGCAGAGGCCAGGCTGAGGGCAGGAAATTACAAAGACATGGATTTCTGCTAAAAAACTCATTTGCTAAGGGCAGAAAATCTGAAATAACAGTGAAATGCCTTCTCTCTGAATGGTGAATTTAATTCTAAATCAAATTCTGATGAAGTTGGTATTTAAGGGGAAATGTTATATCAAATTTCATGAGAGTTATCAAGGGAAACAATAGAAACCTCATGTGAAAACAATTTTTCAAAAGATTTAGGAACAAAATAGAATTTATGGTCAAAATTAAATGCTAAACCATGCTAAATTCAGCTAAAACTACATATAAACTAAAGGCTTTTATACAGAGCTTTGTCCTGCCAAGCTGAAGGTACAGGATTCAAATCCACCAAGTGCTATGTGAGAACAAGATGGGCCATCTCCGCTCACGTGATTTGCTGTCTTTGAAAATCCAATGGGTGACAGTACATAAAAACAGTAACAACAACCCAGCAATTCCACTACTGGGAATATACCCTAAAGAAACCATAACTTCCACCCAAGCAGATAAATGCTCACCCATGTTTATCGCAGCTTTGTTCACAAGAGCAAGGAGCTGAAAACAACCCAAGTGCCCATCAACAAACAAATGGATAGAGAAACTGTGGTATATTCACACAATGGAATACTACACTGCATTGAAAAACAAGGAACTCATGAAATATTATTCAAAATGGGTGACCCTGAAGGA